CGAATTTAGTATAAATGGACTTATCATTTGCAATGCAATTCTTCTACCATTCGTAAAACATTTTAGAATTCCAAATTATTAAAAATATACATGCTATTTTACTAGTTTAATTTAAATTGCGAAGGGGTTATGCTGGAGTCAGTTTTATGGAGTCTGAATCTTTTCAACTACCTAATCAACATGTGAAATGACCACATTTACAGCTGTGGTTTATCGTGCAGCCTTTGGCTAATCCAGACAAGCTTTGTTTACTTGAAAGTGTCTCAACTGAAAGTCTTCACATATCATGCCTTCTTCTAAAATTCAAATAGCAAATGACTCAACTGATGATTATTTCAATATTTTATTACTTAAAGGATTTGCAACCTCTCCACAAATGATAACAGCATTCTAACATGACCATGTGCAGTCTTTTTCTGGGCATTTTGACGAGGCCCAATTATCTACAAACACACAAACGAACCACAAGTGCTCTTGACATTCCACAAAAAACTTTCAATTCTCTTTAAACTGATTGGTTATTTATACTAGTCATCACCAGTTATCAGCAGTGGCAAAAATATACACATGCTTTTAGCTTGGAACTGGACTGAGTACATTGGAAATTAAGTTTTTCTCATTTATATTGAGTTGACCACAAACTAATATGAGGAATTAGCAAGATGTGAACTTAAATTATCATCAATAGTGAACACATAAACAATCCACTTGTAACTACATTTCATTGCATATTGTTTAATATATAATCAAGTATTAAAGCAAATTTTGCAAACATATCCCACCTCTCGATTTAATATGCAATTCTGATCAACTGTACAGCTTGTACCTTCCTCCAAGAAAGTTTTATGAAAATAACTGATTACTAGCACTGAATGCAAACAAAATTAAATTACACTGCATTTTCTCATGTTTAAAATTTAAATAGCCAATCAAATTCATGCCCATTAAAATTTATGTATAATTAACATTTTGACAATTACAGTGTAATGAAACTAAGGGTGCAACATACATGACATTTGTGCCAAAACTCAATGGCTAAATAAGACCAAAACCTGAGCCTTTAGTTAACAACTAGTCATTAATGGTAACACCTTTATGCTGCAGAATTTATCAATGACACTGCTGCCCTACCTAACAAGCAGAATTGACATTTCAAACTGAATTTTCACAAATATCTTCTCGTCTGAAATTGTTTACTTTGCTAGGATATTGAGAGAATTAAATCTTAGTAAAACATTTACTTTGAAACCTTTACTTTGCATTAGAGCATTAAAGGTTCAAATGTGACATATAACCCATATATTTATTGTTTGTGTGTGGAATGTTAACCTATCCCCCCCCCCCTTCCCCAAATATATGTCAGGCATATCTTTCGGCATTACCCTTCCCACTAATGCTCATCAGGGAAAACTATATTTCTATCATTTTTAACAATTGTCAAAAAAAAAGTACTTTTCAAAAGTACAAAAAAATACACCACTCACCCAACAACTAGAATGGCATTAACAAAACAAATTTGCATGCACAAGCAGTATTACACAACCTATATCATTTCCTTACAAAGTAAAATAAAATTGCTAGGCTTAGGTTATTTGAATATCTTTCAACAATATTCTCTCCACGCTTGGCACCAATAGGTGCAGAAGCAAAAAAAATATTGTCAAAAGAAGTCGGGGGTAAAAGGAATGTGTTCAACTTTATTGTAACAACAACAATACTGTCACTAAGCCAGAGAACAAAAATTTATGTGGTAAAAAGAAGGAAACAGTATGTTTAACAACACAATAGGGATTCCCCAAAGCATTATTTATCTCACTAATCTTTTTTATTCACTAATCTTTAAGTGCCTATAAATGCATTTCTTCAGCACATCTCTAAATGTCGTCAATTTAAATCACAAAACATGCATACAAGGGTCATACATTAGGAATTATCATTTTAACAAAGCAACACATGCAATCCTTACACAAATACATCATTTTACACATTTTACCAGTTTTAATATTTCAGTGCTACTGGCAAAGCCGGTAACAAACAACTGCTCTAAATTTGATTGGCAAGGTTATCTTTACAATATACATTTAAAGAGTAGTCAGATGGCTTTATTCACTGCATACTGGTGAATTTTCACAGTTGATTTAAATTACTCCTTTCTGGCAGCAATACTCACTTCACCAATCCTTTTTTTCTTTTTATCAATCTTGCTTCAACGGCATAGATTTTCTCCTCAAGATGACAAGATGGGTTGTGAGATTCCTGCCAAGACTGATCAATCAATCTGTACCCAAACAATGGAAAGTCGAATAGATTATTTGTCTCAAAGAAACTTTTCCCCACAATAATATAATGTTCATTAGCTGTCTACTGCATTGTTTTCTGTATGACTAGGAGCACTTCCATTCACCAAGACGGGTTGCTCTGTGGGTGCAGAGGTTGGGACACCGGATTTGAGATCGTCGCTGGGCTTCGACTTTGTTTCACTTGGCTGATCTCCATCTATTTCTTCTATTGTTGCTCTGTTATTGGTATCAACCCCTCTAAGTTTTTCTACATCTTCTTTACTGTTAACAGAAAATACCAACAGAATGAAAGCTCAAGGAAAATGCACAAAAGACATACTATTTTCTGCACCAATCAATATACAATGTAGAAATTCCATTCTATGAATAAATTATTTTGACATAAGCTTATTCTTAAGGAGTTTAGCTACAGAATCCATGCAGTTCTTACAAACCAATTCACAGACAATCAAATACAACATGATCCTGTATCTTACCTGAGTTGGACCCACTGTATCAGCTCAATACCATTTATTGCATTGAGAATTTGCAAAATATTCACCAAGGAAGGCACCTGAATCTGTAAATGGTAAAATGTGTTGTTTTTTTAACCAGATTACAAATTTGTGCTACTCATAAGCAGAATTTAGAAAATCTTTTAAAATCTTTATTGCAAATATCTTTAAGTGGTTACTCTAAATCTCATGCTGAGAAAATAACCATCAGTTGTGGTGTAGTCTTGACAAAAAATCTTTTTAATACTATCTTTATATTACCTGTAAAGGAGGGAAGGAGACATTCTTTTCTCCCTTGTATATGTCATTGATTCTCCTCTGAAACTCTACAGCTTGTTCTGTCAAATGACGAAGGCATTCAGAGCTTTCCTGGGTACGGTCATGTTTCTCACCAAGCTGGAAAGACATGACATAAATTTTTAAAAATTCTGATAAAGGAGTAAATAAAGAAGTTTTAATTTTAAAAGCTAAGTATAAAACTGAGGGAGAAATTTTAAGTATATGCACCATAGTCAATTTTTGATATACTTACCAAGGATTTGTAAATGGTATAAGCTTCTTTCTCATTCTGAAGGGCAGTCCTGAAATCTCCAATACATGAGTGTGTCCTAGCTACAAGGTGGTACCCCATGGCTACCTTAAGACTTTGTGTGCCATAGAATCTGGAACAAGAAATTGGGTATTGGTTATCATAAGGCTGGCCTACTATACAAAATTTAAAATATGAAACTTTCAAAATAAACAAATGACAACTGATGAAAGCATACCAAACCCATGTTTTTGCTGCATGTGACTGAAAACAATTCAGTTCTTAAAAAAGTCATTAACCTTTAAACAGTTTCATATTTACTTAATTTCATGAATTCCAGTATGACTTTACCACTTGAGGCTACGTATGTCAACATTAAGAAATCAGTGACTACCTTGTATTCAGCTTGAGAGCATTTTCTAGGAAGGACAGGGACAATTCATACTGTCCAGCAGCGTGAAGGATGAGACCAATGTTGCTCTGAAAATAAACCGATTGGACTATAGATATGTTTTCTTCCAAATATTTTTAATTGTATTAAAATACAATATACGATCGTCAGATCATAAAGTTTAAATCCTTTTTTAAATAGAGCCAGGTTAAATATATGCCCAATTATACACAAACACTCTAAAATCTTAAAAAATCTTGAAAACATGGAATGCAAATGATTCAAGACTTGCTACCTACATCATACAAAGCCATATTTGGATGATCCTCGTCATGACACAACAAAGACAGGTAGCGCGCCCTATACATCAACTGTAGAGCACTGGGAATCTGACCACCAGCAAAGCAGTACAGGGCAAAATGAGCCTACAATAATGATAATAAATATAAGAAGTATAAAAATAAAAATAATTACTAAACATTTGCCAACATGAAGAATGGTGAAAGCCTTCAATCTTTTATCTCCTGAGAATTTCTAAGTATTACATTTATTCATTTAGTCTTCATATTACTTTTACATGACACTAGCAGTTGTAAGGCAAAATTTGTCACACCTGGCACTTACATATTCAGTAATAGTGTTAGGATGATCTACTCCCAAGACTCTCTCTGTCATGATCACAGCCTTTTGCTGGAAGTTCAGGGCCTGTTAATGAAAATAATGAAGTAATGCATTAAGCAAAAATCCCCCTAAGTACATTTCTTCAAATTCTGGATTTCTTTCACTACAGGCCAAATTGTGTTTTTGAATTAAAACCTCTTTTGAAAAATCTATGAAAACCAGCAAGGCAAGTTCTTAAAGATGCATACAAAGTCAATATTTTGTCACAAAACCAACCAAATGCCAGCATATAGTTTCAAGTAGTATAACTAAGAGAATTACCAAAAGGCATTGTTTAATTTTACCCGAAAATGATGTTTGAATGGATTTTTCTGCTGGCATTCTAAGCTGTATGTCAATGGGGCAGGAAAGTAGGTCAGGAAAGTAGGCTAAATTTACAACCAAAAATTTAAAGAAAGGAGCAGTCTAAAGGACTTTTATGGCTGATCGAGTGATCTATTCAGTTTATCCCTTGGCATGTCGAATTTATTTGAGTCATATAAAAATCTAGTAGAAGTGGTTTACATGTGTTACTGGGAACCACCGATGCTCCATTCGTATGTACCTTTAAAATATAATCTTGGCCCATACTGTACATTTCAATATTCCAAATTCAGGATCAAACACTGAATGCCATGCTGCTTGAACTACCAGTTTTGACCTCAAAATTCTCCCCTTAGAAGTTTTAATGTTCTTAACTCCCCACGTTCCTCACCTCACCATAGTCCCCCATTATATAGTTAAGCCTGGCCAAGAGTCTCATACAAGCGGCTATCTCAGGGTGCAGGGCTCCATACACATTGGTAAGCAGGTTCAGGGCCTCTCCTATCAGCTCATAGCCCTCCCTCAGCAAACCTTGCTGGATCTTGTTCTGACCACTAGTGAAGAACTGGTATGCATCTGTTGCCTAAATTACAAATATTGCATAGGGAGAGAAAGTATCTTATTTGGTGGTGCAGCTCCAAACTTTTCTGGTTTTTAATATGTAGACGATCCACATGCAGTTTCTCAATTCATCTGTATGTTTCATCAAAATCATGAAGAGAAGTTGACAGTGCAACACACAAGTCTTTAAAGTTGGATGATAGTTTACACAAGTTTCTGTGCAATATAATAAATAGTGACAGTTTATTTCACTGTGGCATTTTTGTCATTGGTACAGTACAACAATACTATGTATACATATGAAATGTCAATGAATGACCCAAAAGGAATAATAATAATAATAATAACATTAATAATAATAATGCTAATATATTTAATATGAGACTTAAGTATTTCACGAAGTTCTTAAATCTATTAACTGACATAACTTTCCACTTTTCACCCAAAACACTCTCCCACACACAAACACACATAGAACATAACCAATGCCTACCTTGTGGTGTATATGTTTGGTAACAGGGAAAGTGTTGACAATGTCCTCTTCATAGAAGCACTGCTTGTGTCTAAGGTCCATGTAGTATTCCCTGAGCATCAGCTGAATTCCTAACTTCTTACAGAAAGCTCTGAGCAAGGAAATCTTCTGCATGTGGTAGGTTTCCACTGCTGTGTCCATGTTGTCTCTGAAAAATAGTGGCATTGTTGTTTTCCATAAACTTAAATCATAATATTATATTTAAATGCTTTTTATATAATTCATTTATTAATTAGTTGGTAAATTTGTGTGTGTGTGGGGGGAGGGGGGGGGGATTGCCAAAATTATGGTAGAAAATTCAATTTAGACTGATCCACTTGTGTAGCTTTCTTTCACTGACAAGTAACAATAATGTAGTTAATAATATGGTGTATCTGATAAGAAAGCATAATAGACTTACCCCTCTAATTTGAAGTCATAGTGATTCTGAACATCGTCAACAATCTTCTTCCACAAGGTTTTAGGCGTTTCTGAGATCCATTCAGAATTGTCTAAAAAATACATACACCATATGAGCAAACAATAAATGCCACTGAAAAGACCTGAATAAAGCTACAATAAGCAATTTTGCAAAATGACTGCCTAAATAGTTCGAAATGAGTATTGAACTTATGATCAAATTTCAAAAAAGATAGACTTACCATGGTTATATACAAGCACTCCAGCCTTGTTCTTCACTTTACCCCCCTTGCTCTTTTTCTTTCTTTGAAACTAGAACAAAATGGAAATGAAAGAGATAACAACCATGCTCAAATCTGGCAAGGATTAAAAAAAAATATTGCTTGAAGAGATATCATTTTTCTCTCATAAATAATGACATCACGTTACTCTTTTAAATTATGCATTTCAAAAATTTTCAATAATAAAATCATTTAGTGAATTTGTACAACTGGCCCCCAATGTGACTCATTTGGTCGAGTCTAAAATCTTCACGTTTCATACATTGATGGGACCTAACAGTTGAAAGGATCCCTCACCTCCTCCGACATGACCTGGGTGTGCGGTGATGGGTGAGAGCCCAAATAGCAATTGAGAAAATGGCTGATAGCTTGAGAGAGAGACATGTGCTCCACATTGTGCATGTACTTCTGGTATAAATGTTTTGCAGCTCGGCTTATCATTTCAGCCACAGTGATGCTCTGAAAAATAAATTGAAGAAAATTATAGAACGGATTTTTCTATAAAGTAGAAAAGATATATACTAATTGGATCATAATGTGGACTTTTTCAATTCAATGTATCAAAGTAACACGTTACTGATATACATCATCAAACATAAAA